GATTTTATGAATCTGTTGTGTATATTTGTTTGTAAGAGCAGTAATTTTGTTAAGAAAGGTGAAATGGGGAACAAACCTGGGCGTAGATTAATATTTGGGTAATTTTCTATGGCGGCACTCTCCAAAATTTTCCTTCTGAGTGAGTTATTTTTTTTTTATGAGTGTAGCATTTTTAAAATCAAAATTATGGTTGAATTTATTTCTATGTATGACTATTGCATTAGCTAAGTTGTTTTTTGTGAGGTCTCTTTTTTGCTCATAATTGCGTTTTTCAAACTTCTACTTGTTTCTCCAATATATTGGGAGGAACAGTTTTGGCAATTTATTTTATAAATGCCTGCTTCATAAATATTAGTGCTATTATTGTTTGAAGATCTTAGTATATCTATAATGGTTTATATATATATATATATATATATATATATATATATATATATATATATATATATATATATACCCTGTACATTTACATTGAGCATTGTAAAAAAAAAAAAAAATATCAATAAGAAAACTGGATTATATTTCTTACTGTTCTTTCTTTTTTATATATATATATATATATATATATATATATATATATATATATATGCACATATCATTAAATACGACAGATAAGGTGCTTTGATTTAGATTTTTATACACTTTCTCATGTGATCTAATGTTTTTTCTTTTCTGATGATAAATTCTATAAAAAATAATTACATCATCTATATTTAAAAGAGGCTAAAATAATATAAGCCTTATTAGTAAAAACAAAAAAAAACAACACTCAGTAATATCAACTATGAACACGGACACAATATCTTGACCGTGTTTTGAAAATGAAAACATATAAATGCATACATACAAGAAACTATTAATATATTTCACCACAGAAAATGGCTAAATTTAGAGCCGAAATCTCTTGAAAAGAAAGACCAATTAGACAGATTTTATATAAGTTATCCTCCGAAAAGAAAAGAATTATTAGATCACATGAGAAATTGTATAAAAAACTAAATGTTTGTTGTATGTCGTATTCAATGCAATGTGCAGGAAAGAAAGACTACTGCATATATATATATATATATATATATATATATATATATATAAAAGAGAGAGAGAGAGAGAGAGAGAGAGAGCGAGAGAGGGCATATTCGTGTTTTTGTCGGTATTTTGCAGGTTTTTTGTCATTTTTCTTCAAATAATACTTCATTGAAACAGAGGAGACTCTCTAAATGTTTTATTATGACCTTTTATTTTTTTATATCTTTTGACAGCCCCCACCCCAGGGTTTTTTTTTTTATTCAGGATTTTCTTATACCACAATGAGAAATTCATATTTCTCGATATTTTTTGTAAGTGATAAAGTCCCCCTTACAAGCCATCTATAGACTCTCTATCCCTTTTCTTCTCTTTCCGTATGGAACCCGTGTTTATGTTTGGATGCAAACAGACCTTATTTTTTGCACACAGTTTCATAGATGCTCACCTTTTATATGGAGTTAATTTTTTTTTTAATTATTCTACATTTTGTGGTGTTAGACGCCTACTCTTTCTAACTTTCATTATCACGTTCGTAATTCTCGTTGTAGTCGAGACTTTGGAACCACAGATACTCGTAGTAGTCACTCCTTCAAATGATATTCGCACTGATAATACTCGTTCAAATAGTAATCGCGAATAGTAATTCATATAATGATAATTATAGAGCAATAGTATAGTGGATAAGAGAAGAGCGATCACTTAGACATCACGCTAATTCTTATTTTCATGCTTCGTTTACGATCACGTGATCTACTTATTTAATAAAGGAATCGTCTGTGTTTGCTCACTGGTGATCAGTGTTCAAAGTACGGTGTCGGCAACGACGCTTTATTCCTATAAAACACTACCAGTACATATCACAATTAATTATATTTCCCGAAAATTTAAATTAATTTTGGAATTTAAATATAAAAAAATATCTATTTTCGAAATAGTTTTTCTTGTTTTCTGTTTACGGTGCAATGTTTTATTTTTTTTTTAATTTATTTATTTGATTTTTTTTATTTATTTAATTTTGCAATCGACACGGAAAATTATGCCAACCCTATATTAGCACGACTGGAAAGATGGGGAGCCTGATGGATAAAAAATTAGTTGGGACACTCTTTTTACTTCCTCTAGGACCATTGGCGTTATTTAATACCGGAAGAGAGCTTCACAGCCGGGAAATGCGAGAGAAGAAACTGTTAGCATAGAACTTGCGGTAATATGTAGCCAGCACAAATGTAAATTGCTGAGACCTGGTCACTAGTCTAGTACTTCGCCTGAATTCATAAACTCAAGGTAACATAGCGAAAAGCTTGAACATAATATTTATGTTAGACACACTACGACAACTTTGTCTCGTCAACTGAGTTTTCATTTGAATGATATATCCAGCATTTCTGAACATTTACAACAGCATACCTGTCCACATTTACAATTCAGAAAAATTCTTGTTGAAAGTATTTCTATATTTTTCAAGAAAATAATAAACATAAACTAAAAATTCTCGAAACTTTAAAAATTTGAAGTTAAACCTTAATAAAATTAATTATGAACACTGCACAACGCGGACGTTGAAGTCAACACCCAGCGGAGACAGTGTGTTTCATGCTAAACACAATTGTCAGGCCATGACAATTGCGTTTAGGGTGAAACAGATTGTCGCATCTGGGTGTTGACTTCAATGTCCATTTTTATATATATATATATATATATATATATATATTTGGAATCGCTGGTATTTTTAAATATAAATAATATATTTCAAGACCTAAAATATATTTGTTTAACGAAACATGTATGACAGAGTGATTGCAGTTCAAATGTACAATCTCTCTCTCTCTATATATATATAAATAGTCATCCACAGACAGACTTTTTCACAGGTCACCAGACGTCCGGTTGCCTCTAGCTAGGATCGAAATCCGGTTGAATTGGTATCAGTCGGAGATTCTACCACGAAGCAGTCGGCGCACGGCATGGATGTAGGTGAATCATTAGCGTATTTATTTTTTAGATAAACACACAGTGAGTGAGAGGAGTCGATTCGCTTTACCGTATATAACACTGATATATACATATAACATTGATATATATATATATATATATATATATATATATATATATAAGGTGTACTATATTTATAGGATAAAGTGCTCATTATCAGAGATCGAGCATATGTAAATATAAATATAAAAGTGAACATTGAAGAGGCGACTGAGTGTTGACTTCAATGTTCACTTTTATATATATATATATATATATATATATATATATATAAAACACTGAAATGGATAAATTCTTTATTATTTTTCTTACTTTTTTTACAGTTTCACAGTTACCTTTCTATTCCGACACGAACTCAGTCTATACCGGGGTTGAATAAGACTGATGAATTTTGTCTGTCGAAATAAGCTATTTTCCCACATTTTATTATGTACTAATTATTTGTTCTGTAAGAATAAATACATTGAGCTCTTTTGGATCAGTTTTAATATTTGATATTACTAGCATCCACTTGGATTATATAACAACGAATTTATTATCTTTAATATATATATATATATATATATATATATATATATATATACATAACATATATATATAACATATTATATAACAACGAATATATACCTTTAATATATTTATATATACATATATATATATATACACAGATATATATATACGCACACACACACACACACACACACACACACACATATATATATATATATATATAAAATGAAAGTTAAAAGAAGAGAAATCAAAGTTGGTGAATAATCGGAAATTCAAGCTGGAAGCACGTGTTGTCGTTTGATCATAATAGTTACGGCGTATTAAGGCTAATCTTTACTTATCTGCCTGACTTATCTGTGTCACCTCGTAGATGCACTTCATTCCGTCATCTTTAACCATACCAAATAAAGAGAGGATAGAACCTGTCGGGGAAATCATGTTATTACTAAAGCTACTAACTTTCCCGTTCAGAATTCTAAGGCTAGTATCTTTCTAACTCTATATTTGATCCAGAGGACATGGCTCTCTCAACTGATCAAAACATAATCAACGAGCTTTATTCAAATTCCCACTAAAGAAGGTGCTTTTGTTTTTTATTTGAATTTTAAGTTGAACTTCCTTAAAACCTTAAAAATTCTAACGATATTCCTGTTATCAAAGAACTAGCAGCATGGCCCGGCGTTGCCCGTGCTTGATTCAAAAATCGTACGACTCATACAGCAATCGCTATCACTTAAAATAGTTTCCCTTCCTTGCCTTTAAAGGAGTGCCCTTTTCCGTGCTGATGTTGCTACATGCCTTACTTCTTGCCTATCTCACACTGCAAATTTTTCTAAGCTCTATACTAAACATCAAATCTGTTACGAAAAAAGAACTAAACAAAATGAACACAAAACGATCAGCTTTAAAAAAGGACTCGTTACTGGAAAAACCGAATGAAAAAAGAATGTTAACAACAAATACTTTTTCACACCCAACCCAGTTCTGCGGAATCAGAATCAACGTTGGGTTTAAGCAAGCGAATGAGACAATTGGAATAAAGTGCCATGCAGATTTAAATTTTGCCCACTATCGATTTTTTTTGTATGCTGGTTAACATTCGTGTCAGTCAGCTGTTGGCTCTGACGCTGGCCAATAGAATCTTCCTGCCTATTCATGGCAGCCAGCTATTGGCTCTCACTCTGGCCAGTAGAAAATGGCCGTAAACTAAATGAAAACTGCCGTAGAAGCGTGGAAAAATCGATTATTTCCACTATCGATGGGAGTTGGGAAATGCAAAGTCGTTCTTGGCCTTCCCAATAACTTGGAGCATGTGCATGTAAATTTTGGCGCAAATCCATCGAAAATTGCGACCGTGCATTCGTTACACACACACACACACACACACACACATCATGCTTTTTATAGATAGAGATTGTGAAGCCGATAAAATCAATGTTTTATGATTTGGGTTTCTGGTTCGGTTTCGTGACTTAAGTATGGATAGAAAGAAAAGAGAGAGAAAAAGAAAAGATAGAGGAATCGAAGGAAGGAAGGGAGGAAAGAAGGAAGGAAGAGGGTGTGGTAAAATAATGGGAGGATGACAGAGCGAAGAGAAAGGAAGGACGAGATGTTTGTAAGAAAGCGAGAAAAAAGAGAGAAGGAAAAGTTAGATAAAGTTTACAAGAAAGAAGAAAAGAAAGATAGAAAGAAAGAGAGAAACAAACAAGAAAAAGGAAGAAAGAAAGAATGTACGAAAGAAAGAAAGAAAAGAAGAAAGAAAAAAGAAAGAAAGAAAGAAAGAATGTGCGAAAGATGGAAAAAAGAAAGAAAGAAAAAAACACAAAGGAAAGAAATCCCGAAAGGGAGAAAAAAGAAAAAAGAAAAAGAAAGAAAGAAAACTCGAAAGAACGAAAGCACGAAAGAAAGAAAGCAAGAAAGACAGAAAAATCGGAAGAAAGAAAAATCGGAAGAAAGAAAAAAAGCAAGCAAACAAGAAAGAAAGAAAGAAGAAGAAAACAAAGAAACTGGGATGGTAAAAGAAATATATAGAAAGATGGATAAATAAAGCGGCGCAGGTAGACAGATATAAAAAGGTGAAAAGGAAGAAAGGAGAAAAAGAGAGAAAGAAAGGAAGTGGTGTGTTAAAGATACGGAGATGCAGAAAGAAAGAAAGAAAGAAAGAATGAAAGAAAGAAAGAGTATAGGGAAAATAATGAAAGGGAATGGGCAAGGACATATAAGAAAAGGAGGCAGATAAACAGTTAAGAAAAGACGAGACAGGAAATGAAAAAGAAAGAAAGAAAGCAAGAAATAGAGAAAGAGTGGAAATACTTAGACAGCAAATTTGGGAATGAGAATCAACCTTGCATTTACTTTATGTATTTTTAAAAATAACCAAAATCTGTGACTAATATAAATATAATTTTTCTTTCAAGAAATCTTCACAGCCTTGTTTTCAATTCAAGACACAATTCAATAGGAACGCCACGATGGAGAAATCTTTAAAATGGCTTTTAAACGAATTTATTTATATTTATAATGATATGTAAATGTCATTATTGAGGAAATCTTTAAGAGACTCCTTTTTCAAAAAACTATTTCACCCTAAGTAAGACAATAAATCCACTAACACGCACGCGGGTCACTGAGTATGCAAGAATAGGAAACGGAAAACGCTATTAAGCAGCGAGAAAAATAAAAGAACAGGAATTAAGAAGACAGAAGATAACGATTGACATTGCATTTACAATTTTTGAAGATCAAACTTAAGTGGAAAGCAAGAAGCTGAAATAGAGTTTCACAAATAAGATGTGCGAGAAAATAAACTGTTAGCATAGAAGTTACTGTTACATCTAACCAGATTAACTGCAAAATGATTAGACCTGGCTGTCAACCTACTACTGTGTTTAAATTCATAAAACCTACGTACAGGGCAGTTTATCAGAACAATTACCATGAAAGTATTTATGAAAAAAGCACAGGGAAACTACATCTGGCCGTGATAAAATGACTGAAGCCGAGATGTCAGGTCAGGACTAGAGACATTGCAGATTCTTCTTTGGATTTTATCAAGGATCTCTATATTTATAGTTGATGTGACCGCAGTATTCGATTCATGTACGTATGGTAGACTTATAATTAAGTAGGATAGATTCGTAAGTCCAAGGATAAAGCCATGAGAGACGCGTGTAAACAGATTTAGAAGAGTGGCCATACAAGACAACTTTCATATAACAATTTGATAAGAAAGATTGAATCAGTTCAAAAAATCATCCAGAAATACCGTAACCTTTCAACTTGTGAAGAAGACGGTAAACCCTGTCAAATGCCTTCGAGATACTCAAGGCAACAGTCCTAGCTTCACCATTCTTATCTAAATTTTGAAAGACAAGAGTTGACCAACAGAAACGAAATCTATATTGCTTCTCTGAAAGATAACCCGGCGTGGTGAGATGCTTGACCAATTCAGAGTTGATTAGAGCCTCTAGTACGTTACCAAATATTAAAAGGCCGATAGAAGGATTAGATGATTCGGATGAATTCTTAAAGACAGAAACGATAGTAAAAGTTTTCCAATAAGCAAGAAAGCATAAAGCAAGAAGGCCTGTCCACAGTAGAGTACTTTCTCGATTATCCGGAAAAAGAAAACTATATTAGGATAATTAAAAATTTCAGGTAATTGAATACCTAAATTATCGAAAAAAGATGAAAGAGAAAAACTAATTTTCTTTTAATATTTTCAAATACTTTATTCAAGGTTTTGTCCTATTTAATTTTGTTAAAATATACTCTAATTTTTTTGTTTCCAGCTGGTCTCAGGATTTTTCTGTCGCCGCCTGTAGAGTTATTGGCCATGGTTAAATGGAAATAGGAAAAATGCCCAACAAACAAAATAAACACAGGTGGCGATAAACAATAAGAAAAGAGAAAAAAAAGCGGAAATAATACTGAACAAACACTATACATACATATATATATATATATATATATATATATAAGGCAAGACAACAGTAATAATGAAAGACAACAGTAATAATGCAAAGGCAAGGCAACAGGAATAAGGTAAGACAATAGGAATAACGCAAAGCAACAGGAATAAGGCAAAGCAACAGGAATAAGGTAAGACAATAGGAATAAGGCAAAACAACAGGAATAAGGCAAATCAACTGGAATAAGGCAAAGCAACAGGAATAAGGCAAAGCAACAGGAATAAGGTAAGACAACAGGAATAAGGCAAAGCAACAGGAATAAGGCAACGCAACAGGAATAAGAAAAGACAACAGGAATAATGCAAAGCAACAGGAATAAGGCAAGACAACACTAATAAGGCAAGTCAACAGCAATAAGGCAAAGCACCAGCAATAAAGCAAAACATTGCATGAAAAAATAACTCACCAACCTCCACCCTCCTTACTTTTATATTTTGCGTAGATCAGACATTTAATTAGTAAAGACTTACCCACAAGTCTATTTTTAATTTTGATCTTATATAACGAACCTTTAACACTTGGAAAACAGATAACACTTTTTAAAAAAATTCTTTAAAAATCATTTAATCACCAGTTACTTACCATCTGCTGAAGAAGTACAATCATAGTATTGAAACATGAAATCTTTTGTGTAGTGATTTTAAAATGTTTCTATTCTAATCTCTTATAATAAAAATATAAAAATAATATAGTGCTCTACTTTATATTGAGAACTTTTATAAAAGTAAATGCCACGAACAGTGGAATTTTTACTCCATCTGTTCTTCTATTTCCATATATATATATATATATGTGTGTGTGTGTGTGTGTGTGTGTGTGTGTGTGTGTATATATATATATATATATATATATATATATATATATATATATATATATACTGTAAAACAACAATATGAATAAAGAAAACCCGTAAGCCAAACGAAACGCGTCGTCTAAGTCAAGTTTTCCGTTTCTCTTTATATATATAGACATTGCAGACATTGTCAAATATTTTCCTTAAATAATAATTTATAGATAAGAAACTAGTATATTTATAGTTGATCATAAATAAAAAGTTTATAATACGAAATTAAATTACAATATATTAATTTTCCAATTTCATTCTATTAGTTAATATAAAATGTAGTAAATACTTTATATTTGTAGGGATAACGATCTAAAAAATATTAATATTAAAAATCTGATAAAAATCATAATTAAGCGACCCTTTAAAAAATCTTGATATTTATAAATTACTAAAAAATACGCTTTTAAGGGGGTTGTCAGTGATGTTTTGACTAGGTTCATCAGGAAGTTTTGGGTCTTTCAACATCATACTCCGCATCACCAAATCGACCCAATCAAACCATGATTCCCCCTCACACTTAAACGCTAACAGCTACTCTGGCCTTTTTAAAGAATTAGACGAAGAAAGACCACGTATTCCGCACATCCGATTGGATGTTTGCAACAACCAATCCGCTGCGTGAACTATCTTTAAATGACCTGCGGTGGGTACTGGCTTCTTTTCTTATTTCGGTGGATTGCAGTTTCGATGGATAACAGAGGAGGTAATCTTAATCTTCCTAAGTTTAACCCTTTTCCTTAAGCATTGTATAGTTTAATTACTTTCCGTTTTTATTTTATTTGTCTTTTTTTTTTCTTTTCTTTTGGCGGGGAAACATAAACTTAACCCTACTATCACATTTGATCGTTTAACCTTTTCCTTAACATTATTACAGGTTAACTTTAAATGGATGTATTCGCAAATTTAAAATAATAATTGTCCATATACATGGCGTATATTTTTTCTGTACACGCAAAAATGAAATTAAAAATAAAATAAAAGTACAATAAACACTATAATGTTCCTTAACATTGATTTAAATTATTTACAAATTTGAAGTCGTTAAATACAGTAGACTACTAAGTGCTATTTAAATATATCAAGTATTAACGAAACTTCATATTATATTTATATATATATGTATCGCTTAAAACCGATGACAATTAAACTAATAAAATAAAATCAAAATAATATACAAACGATACATGGCGATGATCGAGAGAAAAAACTTTATAAATACACTATATACGTGTTATGGTTCCGATTAAAATATACAAAATGCGAAATGTTCGTATAAATAAAAAAAATATGAGAATAATAGACAAAAGGTCTTACGTTCGAATAAATATAAGTTAATATATATATATATATATATATATATATATATATATATATATATATATATATATATATATATATATATATATGCGAATGATAGACAAAAAAGTCTTACTAGATGTGTCGCGCCGAAACCGCTAAAAGGTAAATAGTAACTTAAAATTACCGCGTATAAAAATGGGTTTAACATAAAAAAACAACATATTTACAAATAACACGATTTACAAATTGACATGATATATATATATATATTCTTTGGATGTACCTGTTTGGTTCAGTTCGTGTAGTTAAAAGAAAATTAAATAAATAAATAAAAATAAATAAATAAAAACGATGTTTATATTATTGCCATGTTGCAATTATATTAATAATTATTTACAGATTTACCTGGTTTGTTAAATTATTTGAAGTCCAAGAGCTATCACGCTTAATCCATAACCATTTTGCTGTCCTTTCTGCTGTATTAGTTATGGTCTGGATCGCCTTTCTTTTGTTAGCACCTACTACGCCAATATCAGTTAGGGCTTTGCATAGGGACCTTGCAACAAAACCCTTTACACCCACCTCGATTGGCAAACAGCTTGATTTCCATCCCTTGTTTTACAACTCTTTATTAATTCGTCATATTTTAACATCTTCCGTTCGTGGGCTTCTTCTGCATGCTCTTCCCAAGGCACTGTAAGTTCGCACATTATTACTTTCTTAATGCTATTAGAGAAGAATACTAAATCTGGGCGTAAACATGTTTGCACGATGTGGTCCGGGAATTTTAGTCTTTTCCTTAAGTCGACCCTTAATTCCCAGTCTGTTGCCAATGACAGAGTATTTGCTATGTTCTTGTCCTTTTTTGGGGTTTCTCACCAGCTCTATGAAATTCTATTGCTCTTTTATCTAGCTTTCAAGTATTAGTGCTGATGGCAATACTAACTTTGCTATATCCTTTAAGATTTCATCATGTCTCCATCTATACCGGCCTTCCGTTAGTGCTGTCGTACAGCTACTTAGAATATGCTTTAGAGTTCCTTGACGCGAACACAAGTGGCATAGTGGCGATTCTGTTTCATACCATAGATGGACGTTGACAGAACTGGGAAGGGTGTTGTATACAGTCTGAATCAGGAACTTAATATTGATATTATTACTCCATATATCCGACCATTTGATTTTCCTATAAATC